AAAGGAAACTATTCACTAGGATAATAATTATATGAAGGATTTTGGCAAGGTACATAATGCATAAATATATAAATACATTCTGTAACATAGTGATTAAATAAAACACGTTCGTGACAAGCTGCCTAGTTTCATACCCTGACTTTTTGATTTGCCAACTATTTAACCTTGAGCAGGTTAAGGAACCTCAGAGTTTTATTTTTCTCATTGAAAAAATGGGAACAATTGTCGTTACTAACTCATATTGTCAGTATAGGAGCAAACTAATAATACTATGATATTTTTCAGTAATAATACAAATAAATTTTCAACTTTTGGATATAGGCATTTATGGAAATAAACTTTGCTCTCAAGAGTGCTATAGCTGTGTCCCACAGGTTTTGATAACTTGTGTCTCTTTTGGCATTTAGTCAAATAATCTTTTGATTTCCATCTTGATTTTCTCATTTATAAAGTCGTCATTCAGCATAAGGTTGTTTAGTTTCCACGACTTTGTGTAGAAATGAGAGTTCCTGTTAGGGTTGATTTCTACATTTATTGTATTGTGATCTGAAAAGATACATGGTATAATTTCTATTTTTAAAAATGTTTGAGACATGCTTTGTGTCCTAGGATATGGTCAATCTTAGAGAATGATCCATGAGCTGGTGAGAAGAATGTATATTAAGTGGTTTTGGGGTAGAATGTCCTGCAAATGTCAGTCAGGCCCATTTTTTCTAGACTTCTGTTTAAGTCCATTATTTCTTTGTTAATTTTCTATTTGAAGGATCTGTCCTATGCTGTCAGCAATGTGTTAAATTCTCGGGCTATTATGGTGTTGTTGTTTATCCATTTGTTTAGATCAAGTAGAGTTTGCTTTATGAATCTGGGTGCAGCCAAGTTGGGTGCATACATATTTAAAATTGCTATGTCTTCTTGTTGAACTATACCCTTCATCATTATATAGTGACCTTCTTTGTTTTTTATTACTTTTGTTGATTTAAAAACTAAGTTATCTGAAATCAAGACCACCACACCAGCTTTCTTCTGGCTTCCATTTGCTTGCAATATTGTTCTCCATCCCTTTACCGTTAGTCTAATTGCATCCTTGCAGGTTAGATATGTTTCCTGAAGGCATCAGATACTTGGCTTGTGTTTTTTATACATTCAGCCAACCTATGTCTCTTGAGTGGGGAGTTCAAGCCATTCACATTTATTGAGATAATTGATAGGTGGGGAAGATTTCTGTTCATTATGTTGGGTTGAAACCTTTGTGGGTATGTTGCTTTGTTTCTCTCTTGAGCCATTGTAGTGTCTGGGCTTTGATCTTTAGCTTTGAGTAGATTTACATTCATGAATGTTTATTGTGCTGATTCGTGGGTAACACTGTTTTGAGTACTTCTTCAAGGGCTGGTCTTGTCTTGGTGAATTCCCTCAGTCTTTGCTTATCTGAGAATGTCTTGATTTCTCCTTCATATATGAAACTTAGTTTTGCAGGGAATAGGATTCTAGGCTGGGCATTGTTCTGTTTCAGAAGAGTGAGAATGGGGCCCCAGTCTCTCCTTGCTTGTAAAGTCTCAGTAGAGAAGTCTGATATTATTCGAATCGGCTTTCCCTTGTATGTCACTTGCTTCTTTCATCTTACAGCTCTTAGAAGGGCCTCTTTAGTTGATACTTTGGTCAGTCTGATGACTGCATGTCATGATGTCTTCCTTTTGCATTGAATCTCCCACGGGTCCTTTGAGCTTCTTGAACTCGTATATCTAGATTTTTAGCAAGACCTGGGAAATTTTCCTCTACTATATCTTCAAATCACTTATATACCCCTTGAGTGTTTTCTTCTCCCCCTTCTGGTAACCCTATAACTCTCACATAAGGTTTCTTCACATAATCCAACATGTCTTGTAGGCTTTGCTCTTTTCTCTTGTTTCTCTGCTCTATCTCTGTGACTGACTTATTTAATTGGAAGGCATTAAATCATAGAGCTGGAAACAGAAGAATGGAACTTCCCCAAAGCCAGCAGAAGAAGTAAAATCATTAAGATCAAATCGGAACTAAATAAAATTGACAACAGGGAAACTATCCAGAAGATTATTAAAACAAAAAGTTGGTTCTTTGAAAAAATAAACAAAATGGACAAACATTTCGCTAGACTAACAAAAAGTAGAAAAGAAAAATCTATAATAAGCTCCATCAGGAACAATAAAGGAGAAATTACAATGGATGCCATGGAGATACAAGACATAATTTATGAATACTACAAGAACCTATATGCACACAAACTGGAAAATGTGGAGGAAATGGACAAGTTCTTAGAAAGACACAGCCTTCCTAGGCTCACCAGGAAGAAATAGAATTCCTGAACAGACCAATAACAAGTACTGAAATTGAAACAGCAAGTAAAAACTTTCCTAAAAAGAAACATCCTGGACCAGATGGTTCACACTCGAATTTTACCACTCCTGGAAAGAAGAAATGGTGCCTATCCTGAAGAAAATATTCCACAACATTGAGAAGGATGGAATATTCCCCAACATATTTTATGAAGCCAACATAACCATGACACCAAAACTGGGAAAGGATACAACTAAAAAAGAAAACTATAGACCAATATCTGATATGAATATAGATGCAAAAATTCTCAACAAAATCCTAGCCAATAAAATCTAGGTGATTCTCAAAAAAATAATCCATCACAACCAAGTGGGCTTCATCCCAGGGATGCAGGGATGGTTCAACCAACGCAAATATATAAATGTAATTCACCATATAAACAGAGCAAAAACAAAGACCATATGATCCTCTCAATAGACGCAGAAAGAGCATTTGACAAAATTCAACACCCTTTTATGATGAGAACGCTCAAAAAATAGGCATAGACAGGGCTTACCTAAAAATGATAAAATCCATATATAAAAAATCCACAGCCAAAATAATACTGATTGGGTAAAAAATTGAAGGAATTCCCACTTAGAACTGGAACAAGGCAAGTTTGCCCACCATCTCCAGTTCTATAAAACATGGTGCTGGAAGTCCTTGCTACAGCACTCAGACAAGAGAGTGGAATTAAGGGCATCCAAATGGGAGCAGAAGATATCAAACTGTCACTCTTTGATGATGACATGATATTATACCTAGAAAACACCAAGGATTCAACAAAGAGACTCCTTGAATTGATAAATGAATTTGGTAAAGTCTCAGGATATAAAATCAATACACAGAAATCAGAGGGATTCATATACGCCAACAACAGTACAAGTGAGAAGAAAATCAAATACTCAATTCCATTCAAAAGAGAAAAAAGAATATAAAGTACCTAGGAATATATTTAACTAAAGAGGTAAAAGACCTTTACAGGGAAAACTATGAAACACAGAAGAAGGAAATAGCACAGTATGTTAACAGGTAGAAGACCATACCATGCTCCTTGGTTGGCAGAATCAACATTGTTAAAATGTCTATACTACCCAAAGTGATCTACAGAGTCAACGCAATTTTTATTAAAGTACCATCATCATTTTTCAGAGATATATAAAAACTAATATTATGCTTGTTTGGAACCAGAGAATACCCCGTATAGCAAAGCAATCCTAGGCAATAAACACAAAATGGGAGGTATTAATTAACAGACTTCAAACTATACAACATGGCTATAGTAATTAAAAAGGCTTTCCACTGCCATAAGAACAGGGACATTGACCAGTGGAACCCAACAGAGAACCCAAATTTAAAACCATCATCATACAGCCAACTAATCTTCAACAAAGCAGACAAACACATACACTAGGGAAAAGAATCCTTATTCAATAAATGGTGCTGGGAAAACTGGATAGCCACATGTAGAAGACTGAAACAGGATGCACTCCTTTCACCTCTCCCCAAAATCAACTCACACTGGGTAACAGATTTAACCTTAGGTGTGAAACTATTAGAATTCTGGAGGAAAACGTTGGAAATACTCTTCTAGACATTGGCCTAGGCAAAGAATTTATGAGGAAGACCCCAAAGGCAATCAAAGTAGCAACACAAATAAATAAATAAATGGGACCTGATAATATTAAAAAGCTTCTGCACATCCAAAGAAACTATCAAGAGAGCAAACAGGCAACCCATGGAATGGAAGAAAATTTTCCCAAGCTACACATCCATTAAAGGGCTGATAGCTAGAATTTATTTAAAACTCAGGAAAATCAGCAAGGAAAAAACAAACAAGCCTATCAAAAAGTGAGCAAAGGACATGAACAGAAACTTTCCATAAGAAGACAGAATAATGGCCAACAAACCTATGAAAAAATGCTCAACATCTCTAATCACCAGGGAAATGCAAATCAAAACCACAATGAGATATCACTTATCTCCAATGAGAATGGCCCTTATTAATAAGTACTAAAACAATAAATGTTGGCATGGATGTGGAGAGATAGGGACACTCCTATGTTGCTGGTGGGACTGTGAACTAGTTCAGCCTCTGTGGAAGGCAATATGGACATACCTTAAAGTGATACAAGTAGATCTACCATTTGATCCAGCAATCCCATTACTGGGCATCTACACAAAAGAACAAAAGACACTCTGTAAAAAAGACACTTGCACTTGAATGTTTATAGCAGCACAATTCACAATTGCAAAGATGTAGAAACAACCAAAGTGCCCATAAATCTAAGAGTGGATTAATAAAATGTGGTATATGTATACCATGGAGTACTATTCAGCTATAAGAAACAATGGTGATATAGCACCTCTTGTTTTTTTCTGGATAGATCTGGAACCCAGTATATTTACTGAATTATCTCAAGAATGAAAAAATAAGCACCACATGTACTCTCTAGCAAATTGGTATTAATTGATCAACACCTAAGTAGACATATATGAAAAACTTTTATCTGGTGTTGGGCAGGTGCGGGGGAGGGAATGGGTATGTACTTACATAATGAATATGATACGCTCCAACAGGCATATGGACACGCTTGAAGCTCTGACTCAAGAGGGGAGGGGAGCAAGGGCAATATACATAACCTTACCATTTGTACCCCCACAATATGCTGGAAAAAAAAAGAAAAATAAATAAATTTTCTTAACTCAGTAGGTTAAATTATGTACAGTTATATTCATACAAACACATGCATTCAAAAAGCAGCTATGTGAACTCGAGACCTAGGAAATGCCCACATTCTTACAGCTACTGTTCAAAGTTAAGGTTTCAATATACAAAAGGCAGATAATTTTGTATCACACTGTACAATGTTTTCTTCTCAAATTTCCATGTTGACAAATCATCAGAGCTGTGCTTTTCATGTTTAAGATAATATGTATAGATGATCAAACACTTCAATATGTATATTTACCTTTTTATAGGCCATTTAAATTTGTTCTCCAAATTAAAGAAATAGTATGGAAGATACATGGGAATGTTGCTGTTTATGGCTATTAACAAAAACAATATACTTGAAAAATGAGTTTGCCATTCTGAGGTTTATGTGCTTTAATTTAGGCTTGACATCACAAAACTGCAAATCTTCTGAGAACTTAAAATATGTCACCTATAAATCAAAATTATGATATTCAGTATTTTCTATGACACTAAATTTTAATTGTATCCTTTATTCCCTGAATTTAACCTGTCATTGTGGAATTTTAAACATGTTCCCTACACCAGTTGTTTTGAGAATTTGGAATCTGAATGATAGGAAGGAAGTGGCAAAGTTTGGCTCCACTGCAAAGAGGAAAGAAGCATTATTAAAAGTATATTCACCTAATGGTTCTCTTCATTTGTAGATGTTCACATTGAGTGTTATATCATTTGTTATTAATTCCATCACCTGTGCCAAAAAAAGGAATCTCATTTCATGCATCCAAATATTTGAACATAGACTGTCACAAACCATATGGATCTCATTTGAAACTCTTCCAAATCATAGATATCCATGTGCAACTGATAAAAGCCAATTTACTTGGTGGTTAGGGGAATGGGAGGCTGCTCTCAAGTCAAGTCCAAGGAGATCACCCTATAGGTTTTCTAAGTACTAAAGTCAAGGGAAATTACTTCATCACAACTTGATCCAGACTACAGTAATGAAGATTGCAATGTAGCTAGTGTTCAACTATGTTGACTTTATGGTACTGGAATCAATCCATCTGCATTGCAACTCAATGAAGTCATTTCCGGGCTGTAGTGGTTTTGATGCTGACTTCATCTCTGCAGGCCCAGATGCTGAAATGAGAATTAATGGTGTTACTGAAATACTATTAACCTTGTTATGATCATAGCTATCTTGCATGACATAAGCCTGTCAAATTTAAGCTTGAGATTGTAGTCTTATAATGTGAACATATTTTTCATTGTCAATTAGCAAAATTGTCTATCAGTATGTATTCTGCATGCAGAACAATGTAATATGCCAGTGGGTAAGTATTTCAGAATTAGGCTAATTTGAAGGATTATTTTAAGCTTAGATTTTTCATAGTGCTGAAGACAGCATTATACATCATCTAACATATTTAGTCCCAGAAATTCTTACTTTGAATTTTACTTTGGTTAACTAATTTGAATTGAAACTACAAAATGGACTGGGAATCATGATATTAACACTTATTAATTCCACCATATCCTTAAAAGATCTGGAGGTTTTACCATGGAATAACTCATCTCCTTGCTTTCACCCATACTCCCACATTTTTAATGTTTTCTCAAAGCAGCAGCTAGATAAATCTCATTAAAATATGGCAGATCACATCACATTTCCCTGCTCAAAACCCATCAATAGTGTCACAACCAACTCCAAGTAAATGACCAAGTTCTCACAGTGACAAATAAGACCTTACATGATCTTCTATCTTTCCTAACTCATTACTCTGACCTCATCTCCAATCTTCTCCACTTTGTCCACTTTGATCCCCTTTTTTCACTCATCCACAAAAGCACTTTTGCTATTTTTAGAATATGTAAAAATACATCTTGATTCCAAGTCATTGTTCTTTCTATTTCTTTGGCCTGGAATACTTTTCATGAAGATAATTAGCATTAGTCACTCCCTCATTTCTTTCAAGTCTTTACTTAAAATTAACCTTAACAAGATCTTCTTGGATGACTTTCATATTATTTTTATTTCTACCTAAACACTTTTATTCTTTTTCCCCATTTTATTATTTTCAGATTCTTTAATATCTTCCAACATTATAACATATTCATGTTTGTTATGTCTTTATTGTTAATTGCCTAACTCCTCTGACTACAATTAAATTCTACAATGGTGGATACTTTTATTTTTTTATATAATTCATAGCTATATCTACAACCTTAAATGCTGCCTGAAACATATTAGGCACTAAATAAATATTGTAAAAAGAATAAATTATTGACCCAAATTAGCATTGAGTCATCCATTAAATGAATCAAGTTTCTTCCACTGATACATAAAGAAAGGAAATACTACTTTTTATTAGCATTCTGAGAGAATAATTTCAATTGATTTGAAACCAGTGCTTCTCAAGATAGGGTTGAAAGACAACAAATATAAAGAAAATTTCTTGGGAGGTTATCAAAACAGCAAGTTTCCAGTCCCCAAAACCATTCATTAGAAATCTCTAACAAGAAACCCCAGAAAACCGTGTTTTTAATAAGCATGCCATATGATTCTTTTATGTAATAAAGCTTGAGAACAACTTCTCTAAACTAGAAGGACCTAGCTACCATCATGTTTTCAGTCATCCCAATTTTTCTTAAATCACCTTTTTATAATAATAAACGACCACTTTCTGAGGTAATGGTGACACCTAAGAAGTAGGAACTTTAATCAGCATATGCATTTAGTTTTGAACAATTCCAAGTGATACTCAGAATGAAAATCCAACCATGAAACGTTCTATCTTCACAAAGTTGGATGTTTTTTAAATTTTTTTCCAAAGATGGTACTAACACCTCCTAGATTTGAAAAAAGAGAAACAAGGAAGAAAAAAATGGCTTTCCTCAATAAACCACTATTTTAACCATAAGAAACTCTGATTTCGACGCCCTTAATTCAACTCTCTTGTCTGATTGCCCTAACAAGGACTTCCAGCACTATGTTGAATAGAAGTGGAAATAATGGGCAACATTTTCTTGTTCCAGTTCTAAGTGGGAATGCTTTCAATTTTTCCCCATTCAGTATGATATTGGCTGCGGGTTTGTCATATATGGCTTGAATCATTTTTAGGTAAGCCCCGTCTATGCCTATTTTTTTTAAGTGTTCTTATCATAAAAGGGCATTGTATTTTGTCAAATACTTTTCTGCGTCTATTGAGAGGATCATATGGTCTTTGTTTTTGCTTATGTTTATACAGTGTATTACATTTATAGATTTGCATATGTTGAACCATCCCTGCATCCCTGGGATGAAGCACACTTGGTTGTTATGGATTATTTTCTTGACAAGCACCTGGATTCGATTCGCTAGGATTTTGTTGAGAATTTTTGCATCTATATTCATAAGTAATATGGGTCTGTAGTTTTGTTTCTTTGTTGCATCCTTTCCTGGTTTTGGTATCAAGGTTATGTTCACTTCATAAAATGTGTTTAGGAGGATTCCATCCTTCTCGATGTTGTGGAATAATTTCTGCAGAATAGGCACCAGTTCTTCCTTGTAGGTGTGGTAAATTTCGGATGTGAAACCATCTGGTCTGGGACTTTTCTTTTTAGGAAGGTATTTTATTGCTGTTTCAATTTCAGTACTTGTTATTGGTCTGTTCAGGAATTCTATTTTTTCCTGGTTGAACCTAGGGAGGCTGTGGGTTTCTAAGAAATTGTCCATTTCTTCCACATTTCCCAATTTCTGTGCATAGAGTTTTTTGTAGTATTCATAAATTATATCTTGTATCTCTGGGGCATCAGTTGTAATTTCTCCTTTATTGTTCCTGATGGAGCTTATTAGAGATTTTTCTCCTGTTTTTCATTAGTCTTGCCAAAGGTGTGTCAATTTGGGAGCAGAAGAGATCAAACTCTCAGTATTTGCTGATAACATGATATTATACCTAGAAAACACCAAGAATTCAACCAAGAGACTCTTTGAACTGATAAATGAATTTGGTAAAGTCTCAGGATACTAAATCAATACACAGAAATCAGAGGCATTCATATACACCAACAACAGTACAAGTGAGAATCAAATCAAAGACTCAATTCCCTTCAAAATAGCAACAAAGAGAATAAAGTACCTAGGAATATATTTAACTAAAGAGGTAAAAGACCTTTACAGGGAGAACTATGAAACACTGAAGAAGGAAATAACAGAGGATGTAAACATGTGAAAGACCATACCATCCTCATGGGTCAGCAGAATCAACATTGTTAAAATGTCTATACTATCCAAAGTGTCTACAGAGTCAACACAGTCCCTATTACTATGCCATCATCATTTTTCACAGATATAGAAAAAATAGTTTTACACTTCATATGAAACCATAGAAAACCCTGTATAGCAAAATCAATCCTAGGCAATAAAAACAAAATAGGAGGTATCAATTTACCAGATCTCAAACTATACTACAAGGTTCTAGTAATTAAAACAGCTTTCCACTGGCACAAGAACAGGGACATTGACCTTTGGAACAGAACCGAGAACACAGATATAAAATCATCCTCATATAGCAAACTAATCTTTGACAAAGCAGACAAAAACATACACTGGGGAAAAGAATCCTTATTCAATAAATGGTGTTGGAAAACTTGATAGCCACATGTAGAAGACTGAAACAGGATGCACACCTTTAACCTTCACAAAATCACTCACACTGGTAACAGACTTGAACTTGGTTGTGAAACCTTTAGAATTCTAGAGGAAACATTAAATACTCCTTCCTAGACATTGGCCTAGCAAATAATTTATGAAAGGACCCCAAAGGCAATCCAAAGCGCAACACAAAAATAGGACCTGATAATTAAAAAGCTTCTGCATCACAAAAGGAAACTGTCAAGAGACCAACAAGCAACCTACAGAATGAGAAATTTTCCCAAGTAACAAATCCGATAAGGGCTGAATAGCAGAATTTTTTAGAACTCAGGAAAATCAGCAGAAAAATCAAATAACCCTATCAAAAAGTGGGCAAGGACATGAACAGAAATTTTTCAAAGAAACAGAATAATGGCACAAACATATGAATAATGTCAACATCCTCTGATCATCAGGAATGCTAATCAAAACTGCAATGAGATATCACTTATCTCCAGTGAGAATGACCTTTATAAAAAAAATCCCCAAACTATAAATGTTGGCATGGATGCACAGAGATAGGAACATCCCTACACTGCTGGTGGGACTGCAAACTGGTTCAGCCTCTGTGGAAGCAATATGGAATACTTAAATGATACAAGTAGATTACATTTGATCTAGCATTTCCACTACTGGGCATCTACCCAAAAGATCAAATAACACTCTTCAACTGGGATACCTGCACTCGAATATTTATGGCAACACAGTTCATAATCACAAAGGTGTGGGAACAACCCAGGTGCCCATCATACATCAGTAGGATTATAAAATGTGGTATATGTATACCATGGAGTACTATTTAGCTTTAAGAAACAATGGTGATATAGCACCTCTTATATTTTCTTGGATAGAGCTGGAACCCATTCTATTAAGTGAAGTATCTAAAGAATTGAAATACAAGCACCACATGTACTCAACACCAAATTGGTATTAACGGATCAACACCTAAGTGGACACAGAGGAAAAACATTTATCGTGTCTCGAGTGGGTCGGAGGGGGGAGAAGGGGATGGGTATATACACACATAATGAGTGAGATGTGCAACTTTTGGGGGATGGCCACACTTAAAGCTCTGACTCGAGGGTGGGTATGGGAAATATACGTAACCTTAACATTTGTACCCTCATAATATGCTAAAATTTAAAAAATTTAAAAAAGTAAAAAATAAACTCTGATTCAATCAAGAATTTAGATTACTGAAAGTTTAAAGGTAATTGTTCTTTTTTTTCTTTGTGCAAGCTGATTAGAACACTCCAAATTCAAATATAAATAAAAATATTTTTACTTCAAAAGTCACTAAAAAATTTTCAAGACTTGTAACACTGCAGTTATGCTAGAGACCATTTACATATCCAAATACTTCCATGTATTTTATGATATTTATGATGTTTTATCCCTAACATACACAGTCTCCCACATTCTACTGAGTAAAATGATGCTAGCTGTAGATTTTTCTATCCTCTTTTGC